TCAAAGAGATTGAAAAAGTCATGCAAAATATACGTATTGGTAATACAATTTGTTTATTTGGTTTATGCAGAAAGAACAGAATGTATTGAAAGTCACGTTTCGTTCGGCTGTTAAAGTAGCCGAAGATTTATACAATGAGCAAAAAAATCATTACATTATACCACCAGTATGTGTACCTAAAGAATACAATGGAGAATGCCATGTAAATCACATTCGTAAGATGCAAGCCAGTTTCTCATGGGATTGGGGTCCTGCTTTTCCCTCGATTGGCATTTGGTAACAAGCAATCGATTATTTTACAATATATTTTATTATATTTTTTAACTAACTACTACATTTTTATTAGTATATAACACAAGATATTTACAGGAGAGATGTTGAATTGATTCCCGTAAATGATATATTGATTAATGATATTACGACTGATATACGCAAAGAAAATAATATTTGGAACATCCTTATTACAATATTTCTTGAGACAACAAAGAGTAAGGACGAATTCATAGGAATTAGTTGTCACATAACATCGATATTGCATATTGTACAAAATAAAGTTGTTAGCAATACCAGTGAAGTTATACTTGACGCAAGTGAAAAATACATAAATGTTAACATTTCGCTCATTGTGCCTGCAGTAAGTTCTAAAATTCAAAATTTAAAATTAAAAAAAATTTTTTTGAGGATGTCCTTATGATGTCCTTTAAGAACCGTGTTGTATGGAACAATCTCTCACAATTGTATTAGAACTTAACATAAAATATGGAAGATATTTGAAGTGTATAAAATAGAATAACATATTAAAAAGACAACGCGAAATGCAATAGATGGCATAATGAGAGCCATTGAACAGAAATTGAAAAAAAGATTTTTACATCGATAACAAATAGAAAATTGTAAGACAAAAATTCGAAAAATCTCCAGTAATATACTTGACACGCCCGTTTCTTTTTGTTTATAACTCGATGCAAACAATTCAATAAATATCTTATTAATATAAGCGTTTACGTCGAAAATGTACTTAATTATACGATTATCTTGTCATATATTAATAATCACATGAAATAAAATATGAATATGTTATACGTGTAATCGAAATTCACGGATATACATGCTTTTAAACCGTATATTTCGATACATGTGTACCTGTGTATTAAAAATTACACGGCTTGAGAGAGAAACACGGATATATTAATTACATATGTACACGTAACACATGTACCAATATACGTTCAAAACCATGTCTATAATAAAGATGTCCTCAAGACGTTCGAAGAACTATGTTCTTATTTTAATAAGTACACTTGAAATATATTGTTTTGATTTCATTTCTTTTTCATATTTTTGGTTTTTATTTTTATTTTAATATTTGCAAGTGCATACAAACAAAAATCAAATTGTAATTTTATTAATTCTAATGGTCTAATGTTTTACTGATGCTGTTGAACAGGATGCTGTTGAGAACTGGTGGCCGAATGGTTATGGCAAGCAACACTTGTATTATTTAACTATTATTGTGTCAACGGCGAATGATGTATTATTCAAACGGATTCGTATAGGGTTCAGAACGGTGCAGCTCGTGGAAAAATCATTGAAAAAAGGGCTGAGCTTCTATTTTCGCATAAACGATATACCGATATTCGCTAAAGGCAGCAATTTTATTCCAGCCAGTATCTTCCCTGAGCTAGGCGCAAAAGAAGATACCATCAGAGATTTGTTGTTGTCTGCCAAAGAGACGCATATGAATATGCTAAGAGTATGGGGTGGTGGTATTTACGAGTCGAAATTATTTTATGACTTGGCTGATGAATATGGGATCATGATTTGGCAAGATTTCATGTTTGCGTGCGCTATGTACCCTACGAGTCATTCATTCTTAAAGAGCATAAAAGAAGAAATATTACAAAACGTAGTACGTTTGAAAAATCATCCAAGTATTGTTCTTTGGGCTGGCAATAACGAAAACGAAGCGGCGCTTTATGGTAATTGGTATGGCACCGGTTCTGCTCATGTGTATAAAGAAGATTATGTGAAACTTTATGTGAATCTATTGAAGACAGAAATGAAGAAATTAGATCTGACAAGACCATTTGTCGTGTCTAGTCCGGGCAACGGGGCATATGAAGAAACATACAATTATACTGGAGTAAATCCTTATTTCAATCTCTACGGTGACGGTAATATATATTTATATATATATATATACACACACACACACACACACGCGCTCGCGCGTGTGTGTATATACATAAATTTTTTCTTGACCCTTTAAAATGAGATCAATTGAATATTGAATATATTAAATTGAATGTGTTTCCAGTCCACTATTATAATTACATTAGAAATAGTTGGGACATCACTCAGTATCCTCGGACAAGATTTTGCTCTGAATATGGATTTCAATCTTGGCCATCGATTTACACGATAGCAACTGCTATAGAAAGCATAAAAGATCTTCATATTGACAGCAACTTCGTGAAGCACAGACAACATCAGCCACTCGGCAATCAATATATGCTGCAGTTAATCTTTTACAACTTTGCTGTACCGCAAAGTAATGATAGCATCCGAGATTTCGCAAGTTATATATATCTTAGTCAGATCAATCAAGCTGTCTCTATAAGAATACAAACGGAAATGTATAGACAAGCCAAATCTGAAGTGAATTCCATAGGTGAAGGTATGACAATGGGAGCTCTCTATTGGCAATTGAACGATGTCTGGCAAGCTCCTTCATGGTCTTCCATAGGTAATCAAAGACATGGAATTAGAACTAAAAGCCTTGATTGTTAAAATCTATAAGTATAAAGGCTCTTAAAATATGAGGTGTAGTAAAAAGAAATCCATTATTTTTGAAATTGAATGGAAAAATAATGGATTTCTTTTTACTACACTTAATAATAAGTGAGATATATGAAGAATATGAATGCTTTTATAATATATACATCTTGCTTTTATAATATTTTCTTCCTTTTATTTAATATGAAAGTACTATGTTGATCGTTCTAATTTAAGATAGCCTTCTATTTTTTGCATATTGCAAAAATTTTCTCCGCTTATATATTTACAGATAATGAAGGTCGTTGGAAAATGCTTCACTATTATGCCAAGGATTTTTTCGCGCCTATTATTGTTACATCGTATTTGTCCGTTTCCAATGAACTCTCGATATATATAGTATCTGATCGATTGTATACTTTAACAAATTGTACAGTAAAACTTCATGTTTACAAATGGGAATCCATGAAACCTATATATGTATTATTCTTCAATGATATCATAATAGTCAGTATATATGTGTGTGTATGTGTGTGTGTGTGTGTGTGTGTGTAGTTACATACAGTTACATACAGAGTATTAGAGTTGATAATTTATATATAAATATCCGTACAGCTAAACTGATTTTCTTTCAGGAATCTAATAAAGTCATGAAAGTTACATCTTTTTGGTTAGATAGATTCCTGTTTCAAGTGGGTTGTGGAACATTGAAATCCGCCAAAAGATCTTGCGTCGTCACTTTATCTTTTACGGATAAATCTGGATCCCTAATTGCGCCAATTAATTATATATATCCTGATGCATTAAAAAACGTAGATGTACCAGTAGCCAACGTTACTGTAAGTGGATTAATTAGTGTCGCGTACAAAATTCGATACATTACAGACATTGTACAATAAATACTGAAACATATTGACACGCAATTGTTTTTGTTTTAGATGAAGATCGAAGAAAATCATTTACCTGGGACACTTTCCAATTATGCAGATTTTAAAATTGTATTATCGACAGATAAAATAGCACTTTTTGTGTGGTTAGAAATAGGTAATATACGAGGTCGTTTTTCGGAAAATGGGTTTCATATGTTTGTAAAAAGGAAGAAAATCATTTTTCATGCATATGAAGCAACAACAGTTAAATTATTGCAGAGCAATATAAAACTCACACATATATCAGACATTTACAATGCATATGATAATTTTTATAGTAACTATTTTGTTAAAAGAACAAATTTAAATTAGTCGTGCATAAAGTTATCTTGTATCATGCATTATACATGAGAGGCATCTGGTTGAGAATTATTGTAACAATTGTACGCACAGTTTTATGATAATACATATTAACTTTTTATTTTAATAAATAAACTTTATTTAATTATACTTTGTATTATCAAATTGTTCTTAATAGAAAGTATCATAATGTAAATAATTTATTTTAATTATTCGTATAATATAAATGTAATCTGTAATCCTAATAAGCGTAAGCTGAGACTCCTGGGTTAGTTTTCTTATCACATAAAAATATATATAAAGCATAATTTTCTATGTTTACGCTGTATGTTTAGTCCAGTCATCATACAGCGTTCACTTTCATGAAATATTTATATCAAACTCTTAGGTCCGTATTCACATCTCACTTTTATCGACAAACATGCATATCTAGCATATCTCTATTGAAAAAAATCACATTACAAAATTATATAATGATATTATATAATTAAAATAAGTAAATCACACAACGAATTGTTTCAAATCATTATGTGATTTTTTAAATGACATCGTTTAAAAAATCACGTGATATTAGAAATAATTTCATGTATCATATGATATTTTATACTTATCGAAATTAATTTAATTTTAAATAATTAAATAAATGATAGAAATAGAAAAAAAAAAATCATCATGTGAATGATGATTTTTGATGATTTCAAATTATATGATGAATTGTTCTAAATCAGTACGTTTTAAAAAATCACGATTTGAAGCAATTCATTACGTGATTACATATTTTAATTATCATGTCACAAAGTTACATAATGAAATCATTATATAACTTTGTGACGTGATTTTTTTCAGTACAGTTTATGTTACATATATTGTAGACTATCAGAAATAAATGTGTGCATTTATGATACAAAAATACGATGTGAATACGGATCTCAATCTTTAATAGAAGTTGGAAGCAAGCCCGTAGCTCGCGATACTGTTAAGCAGAGATATTAATTATTATTTGTTAAAATCGTAATGTTATTTATTTTGACTTATATTGTGATGTTCTTTCATATGCCGGTAGTACGACCTCCTCCTCTTCCTCAGGTGAGTTTAGGTAACGTCGACTTAAATTGATGACAACCATGATACAACACAAGAGCAAAGGGCCAAAAATTGCTCCTTCTACACCTAAACAAAAGATTCCACCCGCTATCGATAAACCTGTTAGATAAGGATGCCCACCACTGAAATAAACGGAATGTATATAAAAACAATGCATAGTTGAAGATATATTCATATACTACAAAGCACAATTTTACCCTTTAATCTCTTTATAAAACTCCGTCACTACTATGTTACACGGAAGGAAATGGAAGAGAAAAAATGAGATAGCGATCATTGATCCACGAGTGAACCAAAGTTCTATGGTAGCCGGAATGCAGGCAAAGTACGCATCCAAAAAAGGAACTGCCCCTAACATAGTTGCAAGGGCCGATGGTAAATAGACAATCTTCACTTGAAACAAATTATGTATGAACCATGTCCACATGCCGAAGAAGGATGCGAGTTTAAAAGTAGCCGCGAATACTCCAATCACTGCTTCTTGTAATGACATAGCAAATCTAGACAGAATCGATGATATTTTGAAAGTTTTCTTCGTGCAGTATCATACTTTTCATGGTAGTAATGTCCCAGTAGAATATTAACACAATCACATTATATGAAGGTCGTATCGATAGAACATATCTTTCTACATATAATGCTTGTTAAAAACAGGATTGAGCAAACTACATATATTTATATTAGAATACAAAATATAAAATACTGCCAATCTTAGTAATCATAACTACTCTAAGTAGTAATAAAAACTGATCATTGATGTAGTTTAGGATAAGTACTAAGATTAACAGTATTTTGTATTTATTTACATGCATTTACATATATTTTGCAGAGGTGTTATTTTGTACATGTTTATCGATAGGTGTCAGTGTTTTGTGCAACTTTTCAATAGACATGTACAAAATAGCATCCCAGGGCTAGTTAAAAATAAATATTTTTATAAAATTTAAAATATTACACTACAAAAAGAAATCATAAATCAATTTTCAGATTAAGAATTACCTGTGACAACTAATAGGACTAAACATTGTTGTCAGTTCGATGGGTTTATAAGTTTTATCGCTGGAACTGAGCAAGTAAAATAAAGTTGTAAAGAATACAACCTGAAATAATAAATTATTATATCTCATGCTTTTTCTTTTCTAAAATAAAATTTTGTAGGAACATATTGCATACCGTGCTGAGTACAAAATTAAGTACAGCTGATCCACTCATGAGTACAATATAAAATAACTCCGTAAAAATTGTTAGTATTACAGATATATTGCCTTTAACAATGCTCCAAACAGAATCAAACACTGATGTAAGAATGCCAATATTTTCTTTGGCAAAATTCTGTATACTAGTCATATTGAACAAATCTGAAAGAAAAAAGCGATAGTTTTATGTATTATATGCCAAGCGATTTTTATTATATTAATAGAAGTAACATAATGGAAAGAAGATAATCTATTTGGAAAAAACAAAATAAAAAATGTAATTTAATAATGCTAAATTTCGTAAATTTCTTTTCTAGACAAAGTATTTACGTATAGGTGTTTTTCCAATGCTATCTTTGAAGCTTTCCCAAGCGGAATACGCAGACATAGCATCTACGGTAGGACCCACGAGATTCGGATCCATATTTGACATCATCCATGCTTGATAGAGACGATCCCAAAGCTCCAAGACTTTCTTCTCCATTTGTTCTGCCTTCGTCGGTTCGAGATCTTTTACGAGACTCCGAATCTGAATTAAGCAAGCTAGATAAGCAAATTTAGCGTTCGCACATATGTAAAGTGGAAAAGTAAATAAAGTAAATCTTACGCCGTCCGATATAGCACTTCGTCCATATGTGTAAATGTTATCTAAAACACTGTTAACGGACTCTTCCCATTTTTCTGGAACCCAATCGATATCAGGATTGCTCATCAAAGTGGAATTCAATATTTCACCTGTTACTTGAACAAGATGCAAGCCTTCTGCATAGATCTAGATAGAGAAATTAGATAGAATCTTTTCAGTAAACGAGAATGGATTAAAATGGATGAAAATTTTATCTATCCAAAATATTTTAAATAATAAAAACTTTTTTATTCAATTAGATTAAATTGAATTCAATTGGATTCAATTGGGTTGAAAAACTTTTCTATTCAGAATTTTAAATTGAGAAGAATTCACGAGAAAACAGACAAATTGATATCATTTTTAGATTGAAATGCATAGAAATGTGCTTTCAATTCGTATAAATGAATAAAAATACATTCGGATTGAAAAGGATTCATTTATTAACGTTTACGAATGAATATTTCTGAAAATCTGAATCCATTTCAATCCATTTCTCGTCTATTGGACTGTTATACAATAATGGACGAAATGACTGCAACTTTTTTTTTAATGGATTTTGGAATGCGGCCTTTATCGAGCGATTGGTTTATTATTTAGATCTAGCCATTTACGTCCATCGCTCTACGAGCAAGACTGAATTTCAAAACTCATCGATAAAAAAGTGCTGTAATCGTTCTATCTACGATTGTACATACAATTGTATGATAGTGTATAAAAGAAGGTTTATCGCAAACCTGTATCATAATAAAAATAGATGCGCAAGTAACGAAAACAATCAAGCCAAGTATTACAGATGTAGTCGCTACCGCATTGACGGAGTTTTTCAGAATATTTCTTAGTTTCTCATCCACGATAACGCTTATTTTATAGAGACCTCTGATATTGGAGGGTATGAGTGCTTGATGTCGATCCATGCACCACGACTTGAGTATTTCTATCATTGAATTGCAATGCCCGAGTATCATGTTCCAAAAACCGAAATAGCTACCCAACTGTTTAACGATATAATATACCAACGGGATCACCAGAATGTGTGCGATCCATCTGTGTTTCCAGAGAAGCATGCCAGCACATGCATATAGTGCCCCATACATATATTTGTCAGTATCAACCTCATCATCTTGCATATCTAGAGACGTTCGTAATTCGGCTCTTATTTTGCCCAGCAGATAACGATCGCGTAATGTCGCACGAGTTATATAATGTATGTTATACGCAGGTGTACGTGTTGTCACACCCATTACGGCGGATAAACCAGCATCCGTATCCAAAGACAATGACTTTACTCCACGTCTCGACGTGCTACGTATTCTCTCAATACCTGTTGCATCAGCAAATGTCGATTTTCCTACTTCTTCTTGAGAGCAAATCGGCGTATCCGCGCTTTCGCCTTCCGGAATACAATTTTTTGTCTGCTCGTCCTCGAGTGAAGTTGATTTATCTTCTTGCTGGCTCGGCAATAATTCGTTTGTTAAAGCAAAACGGGCTGCTTGCGAGAATGTCAAATGTCTACCATTCAGCTCATGAGCATCCATAACGAGTATCGCTTCGTAAATAAATCCTATTATGCATAGAATTTGTAGAGCAGTGAAGACTAAGACCTGATAAGAACCCGCTATACTCGATAGATACATGCTGATGATGAACCATATCATAAAGGACATGTAACGAAAATGAGCCGAATTTGACGGTGTCCAATAGATATACAGAATCACGAAGTAACCGACGAGTATGGTAGAAACCTGTAAGACAAGTCAATTAAATTTTTAGAGAAGCAAGTGTTTCTATACATGTATATACCAAATATATAAAACATATATCAGGGAACGGAAAAGTTACTTTTCTGCTACAGTTTTTTATAATAACAATTTAATAACGATGTTGCAATTTTTGATGAACATAGTGATGATTAATACTGAAATTACGCTAAGGTTAGGAAAGTTATCTTTGAAAAGTAAATTGTCACCATTACACATCGCTCATTGAAAAAAATAAATAACGAATAACACCGTAAAGTTACTCCGCTACAAGTTACATTAAAAAAATAACAAATTACAAATTGCAAACTGTTTTTTTTTCAGTAATGAATGACTTTCCAACTAATCACAATAAATAATTTTGACTATTTCAACTCTGGTGTTACATTATCATTATAAAAAATTTCCAATATCATTACTAAATCATTATTACAAAGTAAATAAAATGGCAGTTATAGTAATTAGTTTCCTTTCATTCCCTTAAATATAATAATAATAATAATAATAATAATAATTTAAACAAAATAAACTACCGTAAAGATGTTGCATGCCAGAATGAAGAATCCAGAAATAATGCTAAATGTCTGAAACATTCTCCAGGCGAGACACATTATTACATTAGGAGTGAAATGATATAAGCCTACAGCCACCAACGCTAGTAATACTGTCCAAACGATATATTTCATGTGCATCCATAAAAATGAACCCACTCTCTCAGAGACATTGTCAAATATATGTACCGGCAATAAGCTGACATTGACGATTAGTAAGGTACGTGATGCCTCCACTTTGGTGAACCAAGATTGCACCGCTGTAACCAGCAAACACTTAAATGGGAAGAGAACAGAACCGCACAGTAATGCCCAGATTAAAGGTTTAACAAAAGGTCTCAATATAATGTAGAGACCGTAACCGGCTACCGAGACGAGACACAGGAAGAAAAGTGCAACAGCGTTATAAATTCCTTGTTTTAGGGCTTTTTCTTGGCCTGCGCTGAAGCCTGACAGCATGTTGAAGAGATTATCCATTGGTGAACGAATGTTCTCCATCGTTATATAGTGGATCAGTTGATTAACTATATAATATTGACAATAACTTGATTCGAACTGCTCGAGCACTCTTCAAGCCTTCTCGATGCGTCATCACGCTTCATCTTCTTAGGCTATGTTCCATCCAAAATTAACTGCCTGTACTGAAATCCGAGTGAAAATCTATAATGCACGAAACGTAAACTGTATTTTCATCACTGTTGGCAGTAAATTTGGAACACAGCCACAATACATACTGTGACACAAGAGCCTTTGATGCACTTTTCCCTCCCTTGATCCCTTACACACCCACTATCCATTATACACACAACATACACATGCGCACTAACCACAATAGATTAGAACTCATTAAGCTATTGGCTGTGTTCAACACTCAATAGTTGAGTCAGCGCTCGCTGCTATTGATGTATTCTTCTAGATCTAAAATCTAATTGGATGACTTAAAAGAATACACTAATAAGAGTGAGCGCTCACTCAACTGTTGAATCTACGCAAATACGCTCGCCTTTCGAACTATGAGGTTGCAAAATCCACTTGATTTATCCGTGAAAATTCACAGAACGAAAACTTCACAATGAATGGTCCAATATAAACGAAATGAATAATGTTCTTTACAGAATAAATTAATTAGTGGAGAACATTTACACTAGACAAACAAATCTTATAATTGTTCTACAAGATTATACAAGAATTTCTATTTAGTAAACATATCTACATATTTCTACATTATAAAATAATACAATTGGAAATAAAATCGTCATGTAAATATATTACAAATACATTACAAATGTAAACCAAATTCTTACATAAATATATATATAATCTTAAACAAAACATAAATTTAATTATATATAATACACACATTTCTTTCATATTTTATCTATTCAAGCCAATCATTGTTTTCTTATATCTTGAACTATCTTGAATGCTTTTATTTTATCTTATTATTACTAGCACGATAGAATATCTTTTATCTCTTCTCAATCTCTTTTCTCTCTTTTGTTTTTTTCTACAATAAAACATATAAAAATGTATTGTTACTATTTTCTTCAGATTACATTCCATAACTTGATCCGTTTCATTCAATATTGATTTATTATTCAATCACTTGATATTAATTTTCATTTCATTATTTTCCTGAAACAAAAGAGTTTTTTATAATAAAAAAAGTTATATAATATATTTTGTTGAAAACCATCTTATTTAATTTAATTGTGATGAAAGGAATGTTTACCGCAAATGTAAGGAAATTATGATTGATCTCATTCTTATTAATAGTCTCCAAATATTTTTTTCTTGTATCAAGAACTTCCTCAAATTGTCTTTTATATTTTCTTGCTAATTCCAAAGCTCTAATTAAAGACATTAAGAAATATTATAAATTAGTTTCTTTTAATAAACGTAAAAAATAGAAAAATATATTACGAGTAATAATACTTAGCATCTAATAAGTAATCCCCCAAACATAACAGAATAATAAGCCTTAAGCCTTAAGAAATTGATCAATGACAGATAAATATGAGAAGAATAATTGATTGTGATTGATTAATTTCTTAAAGCTTACTATTCTATTATGTTTGCAGAGTAAAGTAACTACTCTATATGACTAAGAGTGCTTATACATTGTTTACATGTCATTATATGATGAATTTAACAGTATTTATAAGCTGTGCAGATTCGTATGATTTGATTGCATCAGTTTACTGTTCAATTTGTTTATTTATCAATCTGTTATAGATATTGAAATCTGCTATGTTCTACATAGGTTTACTTATTGGTCATGGCGGAAACAATTATATAATCCTATCTCAACATTCATTGAACATTCATTGAAAAATGTGTGGGTATTAAACAATTTGTCAATCGCCCTCACCATTAAAGATTCGAGATTTTCTTTACGTGTAAACTATTTCCACATTTAGTTCTTCAACGTACAATTGAACTGTTAGTCGACCGACTTCATTACGAAAATACATCGAATAATGATTGATGTCATATTCAAGACGTTTAATGTATACATTTGACAGTGGTTCGATAAACGTTCGATAAATGTTTAATAGTGGTTAAAAGTGGTAGTCAAAATAGACATTCGATAACGGTTAAAAATGCTTTGATGTTCTATAATAGTTCAATAAATGTTTCATAGTGTTTCGAAAATGATTCGACAGATATATTTAACAATGATTCGATATCCGCAGATAATCTGCCAAGATCATATATTACTATTTGTGTGCTATAATAATCTCTTTTTCACATATATTTATAAAATACATATATGTACACATATATACGTGTATTTCCAAAACACGTTTTAAAATGATCTCTAATAATTAGTATTATGCGCGCGAGAGCGTGTGCGTATCGGATTGCGTGTTTTATAATTACATTTCGCTTAACTTTCTAACGTACCTATTCCAATTATAAATTTGAATATTGATATGTATAGCCTCTTTAATCAGACTACTTTGTAACAGTATACCTTCTGCCATCGATAGATCTCCTGCCAGTAATGCCATTTCTGCATGTCTTTCTGTAGCAGTGGATAAATTCTGAAAACATAATACAATTTCAATTATTTGAAACTATTTTAATAAATAAATAAATATAAATAACATACGTAATTACCTTAATGTATTTAATATAATCTACTTTATCAAATCTATTAATAGCAGCGTAAGCTTCTTCTGCAGCATGCAATTCTCTGTTATCAGTTGTCATAACAGCCATACAAGTCCACAATATCTCATTCTAACAACATAAAGTATAAAATGATTAGATGTTACATTTCTCTAAAACAATAAAATTAAAATAAAGATAACATGGAAAAAAGAAACTATATAAAGAATTTTCCACATTATCTTTCTCTTAGTTTTATTAAAATTTTCATAAAATAATAAATATACATATGTATTTTTTATAAATAATTTAAAAAGTATAAGCTAATATTAAACAAAAATTTTTTTTCATAACGTACATTTATTTGTGGCAATACAAAAATGCAAAAATAAAGATTACTATTATATAGCACAATTTCCTAGCTTGAAATTGTAAAAACAATATTTTATTGAGTAAGAAATAAGTAAAAAAAAAGAGAACAGACTTAAGATATCGAAATGAAATTTATCAACAGAGAATTCAATAAATATTATCATTAATTCCAACACCGAAACCAAATTGCATAGTCTTTTTTACATAATATCATTCCTCTAATTATTCTGCATAATAAAAGTATTAAATAAAGTAATATCACGAAATGAGAAGAAACAATATATGTACATAGTTGTTTTCAAAAAATATATGGGCAAAATGTGGATAATTTTTTAAATAATCTATGTGTTTTCGACATTTATTGATTTTATACCTATTCATCTCATTATTTCGTTATAAAGATATTATGATTGACCAAAAAATTAACATTTTATAAAATATTTAATATTTCATGTGGCAAAATAAAATATAAAATATCGTAAATTATTGATATATTTTGATATTTGTCTTAATATTTTTTATATGATTTCCTTGGAATCTTAGAAACACGTCTATCTAAAAAAGATCTATAACCATCAAAAATTACCCCCCCTCGAAACAAAGTAAGTTCCACTTGAAACATTTGTTGGAATAAAGAATAATTCGAAAAATAATTGCGTCCAAAGATCCGAAGTTTTAAATAGGATACCCTTCATGCATTATATATTACATTGAATATTACCTGAGCTATACGACAGAGGGAAAGCGCTTCTTTCAATTTATTGTTTGATATGTGTTCATAAAAACTTGTGAAGAGATTGTAAAACGATGAAGCTACAATAGCACCATCTCCACGTCTTACCATTACCATACCATTACGAACACTCACAATGTTAGGCTGTTTTCCAAATTCACTGTTTAAAAATATTTATAAACTTAAAATAAAATTATTTAAGATATTTGAAGATTATATAAACAGATCATATATAATTACATAAATGGTGTAATTAAGTACAATAATTTATATTATTAAGTATTTAAATATATGTATAAATAAAACATTAATTAAACATGTTCTAAAAATAATGTGTGTGTGTGTGTGTGTGTGTGTGTGTGTGTGTGTGTGTGTGTGTGTGTAAAAAGATTATAATCTAAAAATCGAATGCATATACTCATAGAAAGTTCGAAAGTTGATGAAATAAAAAGTAATGAATAAAGTAACCACGTAAAATATGAGTTCTATCCAAAGAATGGATACCCATTTTGTGTCCATTTTATGTTTTAATTATGTCCAAAGAAAGGACGCTTACATTCTTTGGGCATCCAGTATGGATGATTAATTATCTCAATTTTGAGATATATTGTAATCTTATTATTTTGAACATAAATGTCTCTTAAACAAAAAAATTGCTCTAACCACAAAAAATCAAAAAGTAAAATTAAAAATGAAATTTGATACTCAGTTAAATAAAATTGTTTTTCACAAGAAACGGTATTTTTTAATACTATACTATACACTATACACTATAAATACATCATTAAACAAGATATTCATGAATAATACCTGCTTTCCTTATCAATTCTTGTACGTCGTATTACTTTGCGATCACTGTAGTGAATACAGTTGGGACATAGCCATACTGACAGATTCGCATCCAACATTGCAGCTAATATATTTGCGTCGGTTGCCCATGCAATATTTTGTGCCATTCCAGCTAAAATATATAATTAACTTAGACGTCTATGAATTACTAATTTTAATAATTATACAAAGTTATTTCAGGACTTCTAAGACAAATATTTTAGAAGATGGTAGATTATCTCATAAAAAAAAAAACCAACTTTTATTTAAGAATTTGTGTGACTACCTACACATTTTTAAAGAACTTAGCCTTTGATTGCATGTCTAACAATGCTACATGTAATTCATTTTTTTCATTTTATTTTCTGTTAAGAAAAACAGATATTAAAAAGCAAAAACATGAATTAGTATAATCTTAGATGCAGTGGTACTTCGCCAGACTAATTGAATATCTCACAGACAAGGATGCAGTGCTTCTTAAAAATCAGAGAACACAACATCTTTAATAAAAGTTGATTCTTTGATAAGATTTACTAACTGTTAAAGTTTATGAAAAAGTCCTGAAACATTCTGCACATTGTTAAATTTATAGTGTCAAATTTAATCTAATTTTATTGTAGTTGCCACTGTTTCTACTCAATATATCGTTATTTTATACTAAAACATAATGAAGCTGAATAGTTTAGAATAATTCAAATTG